TTTTTCTTTTTTTTGTTTTTTCTTTTTTTTTTTTTTTGTTTTTTTTTTTTTTTTTTTTTTTTTTTTTTTTTTTTTTTTTTTTTCTTTTTTTGCTGAGTGTCTGTCTGGCTTGGTAATCAAACTGATACTGGCTTCATAAAATGAGTCCGGAACTTTTCCTTTGATTTCTATTCTTTGGAATAGTTTGAGAAGAATGGGTATTAATTCTGTTTTAAATGTCTGGTAGAATTCCCCAGGGAATCCATCTGGCCCAGGGCTCTTATTTGTTGGGAGATTTTTGATAACTGATTCGATTACCTCACTTGTTATTGGTCTGTTCAGGTTGTCTATCTTTTCCGATGTGAATATTGGTAATGAGTGTGTGTTTAGGAATTTGTCCATTTCTTCTAAGTTTTCCAGTTTCTTGGCATATAGTGTTTCATAGTATTCCCTGATAATTGCTCGTATTTCTGAGGGGTTGGTTGTAATCAGTCCGTTTTCATTCATGACTTTGTCTATTTAATTGCTCTCTCTTTTCTTTTTGACAAGCCTGGCTAGAGGTTTGTCAATTTTGTTTATTTTTTAAAAAAAACCAAATCTTGGTTTCATTGAAATGTTCAACTGTTTCTTTGGTTTCTCATATATGACCTTTATGATGTTGAGATATGCTCCCTCTAAACCCACTTTGAGTGTGTTTATCATGAATGGATGTTGTACTTTGTCAAATGATTTTTCTGCATCTGTTGAAATGATCATATGTTCTTTATCTTTTCTCTTACTGATGTGATATGTCACATTGATTGATTTGCAAATATTGAATGATCTCGTATCCCAGGAATAAATCCCACTTGATCATAGAGCATCTTTTAATGTATTGTTGAATGGGGTTTGCTAATATTTTGTTAAGAATTTTTGCATCCATGTCCATCATGGATATTGGCCTGTTTTTCCCTTTTTTTAGTGGTGTCTTTATCTGCTTTTGGTATCAGGATAATGCTGGCCTCATAGAATTCATCAAATGAATTTGGAAGTTTTCCTTCCTTTTCTACATTTTGGAATAGTTTAAGAATATATATTAATTCTTGTTTATTTTTTAGGGTTTTTATTTAAATTTTTATTTAAATTCATAT